GGCAGCATCGCTGCTTCCATAAATATGGACATGCTGGTCGCCTGGGGGAAACACCTTACTGCCTTCACACTCCTGTCGCAGAGGAGAGTACGACTTTACCGCCTCGTAGCACGATTACTCATAGTACGGGGTCTCGTCGCTCTTGGTCTGGCTGCTCCCCTTTGGCCTTCCTGGCATAGTTGCACTTATGGAACGAAGTTCCAGCCAGTGTAGCCCGCGGGATCATTGCAGCACTCAAGCCCGACCACCACGTCAAGGTGGCAGCTTTAGGTCGAGCAGTCACGAAGCTGCGCCCCCGTGAAACATTTTTTTCAAGGCTACCTAGAGTATACGCCCATTAATCCCTTTCTAATAATCGGACAGCTTCCAGGGGTTAGACAACATCGATGTCAATGGGCAATGTGATTGATACTCCATCATTACCATCGTGGTGCCCACAGGAGAGCAGGATCAGAGGCCTCTGTTCAGAGGCTGAGAACAGATTTGGTCACTAAGTAGAAATGTTGCAGATAAGAGGGCATTTCTGCGTCACGAGAAAAACGTCCCACTTGAAGCGACGGTAAGGCCCGCTGTCCACGACATATGGGCAGTTTCCCTATGAGATGCTTTCAAGTGTAGCGTGGCGATAGATACCTCTTCATGAAGGACATAATTCACCGTTGTGGGGTTCAGCATATATGGTACAATTTATCCCGGTGATGCTAGATACTGTTTGATGTAATCACGTTGCACCTCGGAGGACATCGGATTCGTGTCCCAGAGATCCGTAAAATAGGCACCAACAAGAATGCGAAGGTGGCATAGTGCCTACTGACATTCTGATTGTCGACAGGCATCTGCCCCCAGTGGTCATTAGTACGTGACATCGGACTGTCCGCCAGACGTTCAATGAGGCGATTCTGGAAGTATTTTTTGATTTCAAACCCACTAACTTGAATGGTTAGGTGGGGTGTGCACGTTTTGCATTTTACAATGGTACACCAAGAGCGCCAGACAGTGATCGACTCTGTCACCGGCAAGTGACGGCGATGTAGTCCATTCGGATTCGGAGTTGATTCATTGGTGGGCACTACACTGTCAGGCGATTTCTGTTGTTCCGGAAATTGATACTACAAAGTGAGTCTGTGGTCGGAACACATCTGAAGCAGGCGACCTATGTTGTCCATAAGTCTTGTATCCAACCCAAGACGGCCACCCAATTGGGCCTCCGTATCGCTTAGTCCACCTACGTGGGCGTCCACGTCACCGCCAACCGCAACATCTAATCATTTAGTCCGTTGTTAAAGGAGCATCTACAGCGTCATAGAAGCCATCCTTGGCATATTTAAAGCTACAGTCCGTTATGGCGTACGCATACACAGTAAACAAGAATCAATGAACCTCACTTTCTCGAGATTTTTGACATATGTCGCCAAAAGAACCATGCAGTGGTGACTGTCAGCGGGTATCCAATCAAGTAGAGACGCTCTCGCAGGGTTGCTCGATACGACACCCAAATCGGCATATCAAGCTGCGATGGCCCATGCAATACCATAGCTGCACAGCCGGAACCTGGAAGAAAGCTAGAGGAGTCTGCTCAACCAGAGTACTTGCATCATGTATCCTTGTTTTCGACAGACAGCATATGTCAACATAGAGGGGATCCAGGGTACGAACAAGGGCCATGTGTCCTGCTTGCTTGGATTCGCGAACCTACAGCGATCTTGCGGGCTCTACTGACCAGAACTGACCCCCAACGCAATTCTGGCCTGTGGTTCATGCGATGACTGTCCATCACACTACTGACAGACCTAATACAGCTGTCACCCCTGACTTCTCAGAGATATGTTGAAAGCTGTCCGTCCCGCGGCACCTCATGGATACGAAGCACATGACAAACGGCTGAATGAATCTAGCCGGCATTTCTAGTGACACTTGAACCCCCTACTCTTATTCGAAAATAAAGAAAACAATGTGGCCAGCATATTCCATGTCCAGGTTCTCGCTCGAAGATCTTAACGGCGAGGGGTTATGCACCCTCCGGAGCTTGTCTCATTACTTCAGTAACGACAAAATTAAGCACAAACGGAGAGAGCAATCTACACACTCACGCGTCTAGGATTAATGGAAGTCGTGGGTCATCTGTAGAATCCTTCCAGTACCTAGCTGCCACGTCACTCGAAGGAAGCAGGTTGCCCAAGTCTAGACAGGAGCAGTCGAGATACAGAGATCAATTTCGAATCACGGACCTCGTTGTCGGTAAGCTCGTGCTTAGAAATGTGAGTACAAGTGCCGGACCATTCATATTTACGAACTTCTGGGGCATATGCTGTTGTGCGTGTTGAAAGGAACGAACTCACCGACAGAATCGAACGCGCTGCCGAATTCACGGAACACTAATACCCACACAAGTACCGCTGTTCCGACAATTAACGCGGTGCAGAGACCATACCCCGTTGGAATTCTACTTTTCTTAGGACCGGTCTCGACGTCTTCCTAGGCAGATGTAAAATGTGGTTACAAGGGAGGGGGAAGCTGATTCCCCTGCGATTGCCACCTTCACCCTGGGTACATTTCAGAAAACAGGTGTTGTCCGAGAGACTTTTCCCCCCAAACGGAGGCAAACAAGTTGGGTAGGCACTTCGATTTATCACTTAGTATAGCCTTTGCTATCAATCGATTCCTGCACGCATGAAGTGTACGACTAAGCAACCGCGGCAACGTGGAACACAGTATTCCGGTGGGTTTATGGGAAACGAATTTGTGCAGATGACATTACCCTGCGTAAGGGTCATTCAGCTGAGTGGGACTGGAAGGCCTGTGGCGCCTGGAGCACTCGAGAGATGTGGGTGGCCTCGAAACACCAAACTTTGGGATGAACATCTCTAATCGTATGGTAACTGGGACACCGTCGTGCGGAAGGTGTATGGCCATCACTCCCACAGCTGGTAATGAAGCTGATGTTGACAGGCCGCGTCTAAACAACGAATCGCAGCAAACCGTCGATGTATCATTTCGGGAGTGCCAAAGAATACGCGTCGGATTGAGGACAACCGCGTCCCTGGTGTCATTCATGCGGATCACAAGGGAGGACATGTACACATTCAAACCTAGCGAAACCGTTTTAGTGCATTAGTATTTTCCGGGTGATACACGCACCGGGTAGGTGGGCTTATAATAAATAAACAAATAGTTCAGCTATAGCACCCTTTCTGCGCCTAACTGCCATGCTACCCGAAGATTGCACGAGGGCTCGGGTACTGCCAGGTTGCCTAAGCCCTAGACATTGAGGTCGGGTGCGAACCACGGACCTTCCGGTCAGTAAATGCATGCTCTAACCACTCGGGCCACATCGCCCAAGCTACTCTCACCCGAAGTAGAGATAGTCATACAACCTACGTAACTGGACAAAATACTACCCACCACATCCATATAATTCAGTCAAATAAAGGGATCTCACGGTAGACCTGTCTGTGCTGTCGGGAGCTTTCAACCCGTGCCCAAAGGCGAGTGAGTAAAATCTAACCGGCCAGCCCTGTTACGAAGTGTATTGTGGGTAGATGGACGACTAGAGCAGAGACCAGTCCGTGAAAAGGCAAAGAAATTGCCGTCAGTACGCACTACTACTCCGGTTATCTCGAACTGTCGCAGTATAGCAAAAGCTTAATCCCCAAGCAACACGCCCTGACGACACTGGCGATCGCCGAGGACTCCTTAAGTTGAGTGAGACACCCCCAACAGCAGATAAGCTTAACCAAAGAATTCCCCGGGGACGAAAACCAAATGAGTCCAAGCTGCTATGTGGTCGGGATAGCCCAAATGGCAACGTTCAGCTGACCGGTCAATTCTGTAACGAAACAACTAGCTGCCGGATGAATTTCGCAGAACGCCAGGAATCTGAGGGAGTGTATATTAACAAGTAGGTAAAATGGGGTCACAAATGCATGATTATATTACGACCATCCGCCATACCATTGACTGACTTTGGCGTCATCGTGCATACCAGGAGCGGCCGCCCCGTACCCGCCATATGATCCACCACGTGCGCTAGGGTGAAGAGCAAAGACGGGTGATTAGACCAAGGTCAGCAGCAATGTTACAATGCTCTCTGGACGATAGAAATAGAAACCTACCCTCCAGCCGGAGGAGCCATATCCCCAGCTCCGCGGGGAGCTCCCGTCCCATAACCGGAACCTCCGCCGTATCCGCCAGCAGCAGGTGCCCCTCCAGAACCGCCGAAACTTTGGCCACCATAACCTGTCTGTCCGGGAGTATCTGCATTGTACATCGAACCGTCGTAGCCACCAGCTCCGTCAAATCCCGGTCCGCCATAGGGAGCCCCAGGGCCACCATAGCCCCCGGTCGATCCAACAGGGGCTGGAGGTCCACCTCTGGGACCACCAGGTGGCGGCACCGGAGCGGGTCCTCCGGGCGTTGAGCGTGGCCCGCCGGCACCCATCATTCCTCCCGGCCTTGTACCACGTCCTCCTCCCATTTGTCCACGCCCGCCACCCATTGGCCCTCGTCCACCCCCCATTGGTCCCATACCTGCGCCCATGGGACCCATGCCACCCGGCATCGGACCGGGGCCCATTGGTCCACCCATCTGATAAGGTCCACCGCCCATGTATGGCGGCATACCCATTGGCCTCTGGATAGGCATTCCTTGCGACAGAGCTTGAAGGGCCTCACGAGAGAGGAAACCACCGTAATTAAGCGCATCCGCCTCGCAGAAGTTCGCCGCATCATAGTCCTCACGCCGACCACGGGGAGGTGCAGACTACAAAAAAAGAAGTCAATGAACACAACGTTCTCCCGAAGGCGTGGTGCGCACACCAACAGTAAATAACCCTTACCTCAACAGCCTCCACAACAGACTTCAAACAAGCTATCGCATTTTCAGGTTCTGCCACCATTTGAACCACACGATCGGTGGACATGGGAGCCAACAGCTGGTACACCTTGATCACGCGCATCCTGTATTTCTGCAAAGGGTAATATAGCTGGAAACTGAACTTACATCACGAAGTTCCTTAATGCGTTCACCTCCCCTCCCAATCACTGAACCCGCTTGACTTTCATGGACGAGGATCCGGTAGTCCAACATGCTATCGTCTTCCTCGTCCTCTTTTTCGGGTTCTTCTGATTCGGCACCAGGTCTGGGACGCCGTTTGAACGGCACGTGGCCCATGATTCGTTTCGGGTCGGATAGTTTTGCATTCATTATATCCTGGAAGAATCATCAAAACCTAACCCATTCTTACCTTCAGTTTCGGAGAGACATCTTTCATTATATTGCAGATGGCCTGGAGATCGCCCTCAATCGTCATGATACTAAACGGAAAACACAAATCGGAGTGACCCAACCCGGTAAACAAGATTCACTGACGACTAATAGTCGGAAAAACATGCACATCATGGCTCACCCAATACCACGAGCGAGTGTGGAGAGGCCCATCAGCAAAAGATGAATATAGAAGGGGCGAAAACCTTCAGGCTTCGGAGAACAGGTTAGTTTACAACTGCTTCAGCAGATAATGTAGCTACAGGACATGGCCGTATTGCGGATGAGTGCATTTATCTTACGCGTCAAGGTGGTTGACAGTCAGGACTTCTCCCCTGATTCATTGCCCAAGCGGGCAGACGAGTCGTGGCTGCCGTTTGTTTACAGGTTACGGGGGACCGCCTACCAACAGTAACGAAGTTGAGGTCAACCGATCACCCTACTCGTACTTGCAGGTATATGGAGTCATATCAGATACCAAGCCCAGGCAACACATGGGCCATTGAAAGCCACACCGACGGTTCGGCAGAATAGACGTGTCCCGTGACTGGGATGCCTGACGTTTGTGATGAGACATACCAAAGCTAACAAAACAACTACGTAGGCCACGCACGCAAAACAGTCAATTATGTGATGTATGGTTGTATAAACAAGACAATGCCATCGAAATCATAACATTAGGGCAATCACCACCCTACCGTTCAGGGCCTCTGTTGTCAGGTATATTGAGTTTCACGTTATACTGAAACGAGGCACGGGTAAAGCAAGGCCGAATTGAGGTTCAGATTTGAGCCATGGACATCATGAGGCCGATTAGGTGGATTACGGGTACCAACCCAACCAGATTGGGAAAATCAAGGAGTCGCCAAGTTCGAGTCAGTTTCCAGGAGGGTTGGTGGAGCCAGAGAAAACACAAAAGAGAAGGGTGTCAGTCGGTGTCGAAACAGCGCGAAACTAATTAAGAAAAACCTATCGAAATAAAGACAAACCTGTGAGCGGATTTTTTTGATGTTTTCACCACCTTTGCCAATCATTATGCCAGCAGCACGGCACGGGATAAGGAACCGCAAAACTACGTTGGAAACATCTGCAGCTGGACGCTGGAACTTCGACGGTGGACCGTCTGTACCGTTCCCGGCGTTGTCTCTTTTCATGGTTTCAGGAACGATGAACAAAAATCCAAGGTGGCCGACGGATACTACCAGCGCACTTAAACAAATGGAATCTTACTATTTACAGGTAAACGTAAGTCACATCCTGGAGTATACTGATTGATACCTAAGGGACTCTGTCTTCATAAAATGCCAAGTCCTTGTTATATTATTCAGTCAAAATGATCGCTCGCAATTTGAAGTATCTCGTTTCAGCAAGCAACCCCTGGGGTTTCCTTGCCTGCACAATGTTCTTAGCTGTAGAGCCTTTGTGAGCGTAATAAAACTTTTTGCTCCGAAGTGTTTCATTTTGTTGCGTATTTGCGTAAACAAAAGACCACCCTAATCTTCGTTCATATTTTCGAAGCTAATCAAATTTCTTTGTCCTCTGAATCATTCACACATCTGGCGGAAGTATTCTGATGGAGCGAGTTCGTAGCACCGATCGGTCCCCGGGATGCCTAGATGGGCCTCAAAAGTTTTCACTGGTATTCTGAACGTCACCCCCTTCAGGTCCAGCGTTTGAGAATATCTTGCTAAACGATGTTCGTCATTAAAGCAAACATCCAGGCTTCCCAGGCTTGATTAGTAGCTAGCACCTGGTGTGCACTGTCTGATAACAGGTTGTTCTTGCTGTACTGGCATGTTTATACCGTTTTGCTTCGAAACTGTAAATGAGGGCGATGTTCTTTCTTAACGTACCGTTCCCCGGGTCCACTTCACAAAACCGCTAAATAATGAAGGACGATGGGAGGCGCTTCGTTACTGGTGAGTCTAACACAAGCAGATGCAATGAACATATAGTCAGCGCACACCAATGGAAAATTTTGGTGATACATTGTTACCTGGTTCATGCCAACAAAACAATCAAGTGATGCGTCAGCCCGACGGTGTTTCGTGACAATGACGGGGTTGCGTGTTGCAGGCGAGAGTAGAATCTAATAGACGTACTTTCAACTGATTCTTGAATTATCACCAACTCGAAAACTCACCATCTTACATAGTTTAGTTTGACGTAGTTTTGACATCGATTGCTATTACGGTTTGCGATGTAACAGCCCGCGTCACGTGCCAAATCGGATCACACGATCTGGACCTCTCAAAACAAATCTCAAGTCTACATGACAGGCCGGGTAATAAAGCGATTCAATAAGTATGGCCTCCTGGGGTGCCCAGCTGGAGTAGTTTATAACCGGCTAGCCTACCATCCGAGAAGCTCGGAGTTCGATCTCCTAGGTCCCGTATTTCCGTCAGACACGATACTCGAAAATAGACAGAGCTGACACTAACCTGCAAACGAAAACCAACAGACTAATCTTTACAGCAATTACCGGAGCATAAGCAGACCAGGATAAATAGCATGGGCACAAGTGAAACTGATGAAACGAGCAACCGAGCGTTGCAATAAATTGGCCTTTAACGCGCTACCCCTGAGTAGCCATAGTAAAAGCGAAAAATAACCGCTGATCATCATCGATTCACAGGAGGAATTAACGATATGCAACACGGTGCTGCTTCTGATTTCTCAAAATTTTGTGGGATATTTTAGGGATAGGATATTTTAGGAGTTTTTTTCGAAAGAAAGATGGACACTTGTCCCAAACAATCTGCTTTTCAAATTATATGAAAGCATGCCTTGTGAGCCATTAATAATTTTTCTGTAAATTTTTTATGAGAAGCATTTGTTGTTTTAAAGAAGCGTCGTCCACATTGCATTAGAATGTGAGTTTCTGCCCTGTGGTTTACGAGTTTTGCTGTGGAAAGTGCAGAATAGCTGTCATTGCGGCCTGTACTCTCTATCGATTCCTCGATGTTTGCACTGCATTCGGCATTTTCAATGAATATCTAGATGGTCATTTCTCATAGGTTCACCTGTACCAAAGCAGAAATTGCGGGATCAACTCAAAGGCTATGTTGCATTAAAGCCGCCTCCGCCCTTAGGACTGAAACGTGGGTGGGGATATACCATTGCCGGAGGTAACAAACTATCCACCAGCAGGTGGTCCCAATTAGCCATTAGGTGACTAGTGCATACCAGAATTGTTACTTAACGGAGTGATTACCCCTAAATAATAATAATAATATTTATCCCCAACTAGTGGGTAGCATATCGTCGGGCATGATCATAGTATTACAGTCAGAATAACGGCATGACTGGTGAGGTTTGTGATTAATGGGAAAAGGGAAAGTGACGTAAACAGTAAACATTAATGAAGTAGAGTTCATCACACCTGAGGTGGCATGGGTAGGGATCCAAAGTTACAAGGTCTCTTTATGTCCTATGGAGAACATATCAGATGGCACGAGATCTGAACGTTAGGGTTTCAATGTGGCGGTCAAAGAAAACAATACAAGTGAGGGAATAACAAAGAGCTTCCTGACTGGAACGTGACAAAAACAAAAAACTTCAAACTGCAGGAAGTGTAGGACCGGAATAATAGATATGGAGAGGCAGCAGAGCTGCCACGACATGGCATGCCGGTTTGAACTAAAGCCCGGAACCGTCACTAGGTCTT